CAGATAGATCTAATTTTATTATTGTCAGTAGGTTGGATGAGAAACAAAGGGAGCACTAATTTTTTTCTTGCAAGCCACTTGTCCACTAAGAATACCAAACTAATTTTTCAGTCATGGAAAAAAGGAAAACTGAAGAAGTCTAAGGATTTCTTTTCTTGTGGGTAATCATTTCCATAAGAGTAGGGTTGCAGGGGTATAGAGATCTCCTCCAAAGCAATTTCACATTTTGTTATCTTAAAGTAACAATGAAAGAGTGACATGTTATTTGAATTACAGTTTTCTTTTATTCCTTCTTTCTTCCTATTACTTCTCTTTCCTCTCCATTTTTGTCCTGCTGCTGTACTTCCCTGCCAATTTCTCTCTCCCTATTACCAGTGTTTCAATTGTACACAGCATATTTCACACACATTCCCCATTCCCAGCAAGCCTGCTAATAATGTTCTTTGATGAGGATAATAGTCACTGCCTTATTAACCATGTCTCTGTTGCAAACCTGGTCAATGCAGAGTCCTGGGGAGAAAGTGGGAAGTGATTGTGTTGTTAGAGGCTGGTGCCAGGCAGACAGAGATATTGCTGTTGTTTGTTCTCTCTGTGAACTGTGGTCATTATGTTTCCGAATTTGAGTATTAAATTATACTTGAATTGATAGAGGCAAGAGGAGACAAGATCCTCAACTAGAAATTATAGCAATCTATCTCCGGAAGGTCTTTCAGTCCAAAGTTGTTTATATTCCATTCTTCCAAAGCAACTTTCCTCAAATGAAAGCTTCTCAAACATGGGACTATAGCTTCCATAATCCCCAATGGCTTGGTGTTCTGTACAAAGCAGAAGGTATGGTTGAAATATACTAAACAATTCAGAATATATTGCTAGCAATGATCTTCTATGTAGCATAAGACCTCCTATGTAGCATAAGACAGGACAAGAGATTGAATGCTGATTTAATACTTTCTCACAGGAAGAAGAAAGGGAATCCTGCCTAAGATTTCAATTCTCCATTTAATTTTTATACATGGTGCTAACCCAGTACTAAATATGACCCAGGTATTTTATTCTGCTTCGGTCAGGTCATTCAATGTAATATAAAGAAGAGACTCAGGAGCTACTTGTATATTGTTCTTTAACATGACGAAAATTATAAAGAACCAGTTCTAAAACTGTACCAAGAATTTTGGTACCATACTGTATATTTATAGGTGATGCACAGACACTATTAGGCATTCCCATCAGTAGGTTTTCCTCAGTTTAGTCTGAAAACTTATTGAACTATTTTTTAAATGCATAGCTTTTTCATACAGAAAAATGCTACTTGTTTTGTGAACAGTGATAATACTGTCAGACTATCAGCAAAACTCTGAAACATTGCTAATCTTTCTGTCTCTCTCCCCATCGTCAGTAGTGAAAAATTTAGACCAGAGCTCCCCAAACTTTTGGGCACCAGGGATTGGTTCTGTGGAGAGAGGTTTTTCCACGGACCGGAGGGGGCGTGGTTTCATATACTACCTGCATCCTGCAGATGGGGCTTAGTTTGTTTGGCATGCTGTGGACCGGTGCCAGTCCACGGACCGGGGGTTGGGGACCCCTGATTTAGACAAATATAAAATTGTCATTGATAATATGCAACACAGACAGTAATCATATTCATTCTAACAAATGGGGTTTTAACAAAAGTTAATCCATACTTCATCAACAGTCCTCTGAAACAGGACTGAAATAGGGGTTAGATTGTAACCTTTTTCTAATCTTCATAATCTATTTGACTGTTTTTAGACTCACGACCCCATGTGTTATTTTGCTGCCTAGAATAAAAAGACAATCCTTGTAGAGAACAAGGTTAGATCAATAATAAGATCCAATGGCCCACTTCCTCAGGGGCAACAAGACCCTGAGAAAAGACCCTGACAACTGATGTGTGTGTTGCTGTTTATAAGAAGACAGAGACACAAGAGGTGAACAGGTGTGATTACTAAATTCAGTTTTGATTTAACTCTGACCCAGTTAGGAATTGAACATACTACAAACAACGTACCATTATTATCCATAAGACGGGTAGGTTCAGCCTTTGGTAAATACCAATTTTCTTATAACCCCCTCTTTCTAAATAAAATAACTTATTCATGGTTCATTTCTTGTGCCATTCATGCAATATTCAACACTCTTCATTTAGTCTGCTTGGCTTCTTGATCACAGAGTTGTTCATATCACTCACAAAGTAGCATATGGATGCCTTTTGTCATCCCAGTTGGCACTGATTGTTATAAGCTTTCTGCTCTGAGGAAATTGGTATTTAACAAAAAATTAAACTACTCATATATGTTAGCTTCTTTTAAAATAATATTTTTATTAAGAGGTTTAAGTACAATAATACAAGATAATACAAACTAAAAAGACAAAGAAAGATTGAAAAATAAAGGTGCAAGAAAGAAAAAAGGAAAAGGAAAAGGAAAGAATCTACGAAAGTGGCATTCCCACACTCATCATGACAAGTATAAACATTTTCACTATCTGTTAATCTCGTTTTAGTTAACAAATAGAAACCTCTTCACTCCGTAACTCTGCTCTTAACTATAGGCAAATCCAGTAAGCAATGTCTTTTCCAATCCAGGTGTCAGCAAGAAGTAAAAAACAAATTGCTAAAATAATCACATTAGTTAACAAGCACAGCATTCTGTCTGTAAGAAAATCAGATGCACAACATCTTTTCCAGTCCAGATGTCAATAACTTCAGAAAGAATATCCCCAAGTAACAACATATCCCAACACGAATCAAATAAGCCAACTTTATAGTCCTTCTTTTTGCACAAAACCATATTTCTCTTTAATCCATTATCCCTTGTCTCTAATTTCTTCAAAACTGTAACAAGCCTTCTTGTAAATTCAGCATGAAAAAATTATTCGAATTACTGTCTTGACTTTGCATTTTTATTTTCTTCTTAATTTTTCTTCTTCATCATCCATTTTTTTTTATAGCCAGTGATAAATTCCTGTTCATGTTATTCTCCATAATCATGTCAAATAATTGTTTTCCTTTTTTCCCCTAAATCAGCATCCTCTGGTGTAACAACTTTTTCTGGGAACAGGGTGTTCATAAAAACACAATCTAACTAAAAGGGTTGATTCAAAGTCCAATTGCCATTCTTCAACATTTTTTTCTGAATGCTGTTATAAGTTGCTTATCATGTTATGTTACCAATACTGAAAATATTTATGCATTTATTCTTTAAAATTAATTTCAAAGTCTTAATATTCAAAATAAAATATTCCAATGTTCTCTGAGCCTTTAATCTGTTTAAAACTTTCTATAGCCCAAAACTTGTCTTGCTATTTTCTGTTTATATTGAATTCTTAAAGCTTAAAAAGATACAGTTAAAAGTTTCTTATATAAGGATTGAAGGCACACCCAATAAACGTTTTGTTCTATGCTCTAGTTGATACTAATAAAAACAGTCAGTTCACCTTTTGTTCTATTGCATACTCATAAATGCACAACAAAGAAGTACAGCAATGATGATGTGCTAAAGATTCAGGGAGGGGGAGGGGGACACTTTTATAAGCTTGTTAAAAAAATATGAATGCTATTGCATAATATTGAATTAATATATTGCCGATTGGCCTGAGATCCCCACACCCCACCTCTATATGGGGGTGTCCTATACGGAGATGGTTAACTTCCACCGTTATTTATTGGTTCCTTCCATAGCTATCTTAGTTATTTTAGTGTTAATATTTAATATTTTAATATTATATATTGTTTTTATCTAGTTGCAAGCTGCATAAAGTCATTGATGGAGAGGGGTGGCATATAAGTGTAATAAAATAAATGAATAAAAATCAGTATAAGACCAGAAAGTGAATAACAGCCCATGCAATAGACAATAGTACTCTATGTGATGTTAGCACAAACACCAACCAAACAATATGATCAGGGAATGGAGGCAATGTTGAATTAAACAGAGACCTGTTGTTTTCTATTGGTTAGTAACAGAATATAAAAATCACAAACTGAATTTTCAAATTTTATACCAAAAAGCTTCCAAGGGAAGAAAAGTACATTTGATAAATTCCTGACAAATAAAATTCATCTCCTTCTTGCTTTAAATAGTTGAGAAAACAGCTCCACCCAGTGGCAGAGAATGAAGTAGGCTGAAAAATTAAAATTAAAATTAAAAAGTGCATTTTGCTGCTACATTGGAAACTTTAAAAATAGTATATAAAAACATATTATCAAGACACGCTGTGCACATTCTCTGAGAGTTGGAAACTAGACTGCATTTCTTAAATGTATATATAAAAATATGGTTGTAGCAGGATGGAACCAGGATTCACTAAGCAAATGGCAATGCTCAAGAGAAGATCCCCATAGGACATTTAGTATACACCAAGCAAAGCCAAATACCCATTGGTTACCATGAGTCATGCAGATTGATATGGAGCCTCCACAACTTGAAGATGTTTGTGCATCTGTATTGTCAGATATCAGATATTCAGAAAGACCATGGTTTAAATAAGAACTCAATCATTAACTTATTATTTGACTGTTCCTGAACTTTACACCTTGAGTCTGAGATGTATCTGAGTCCATTATGTGAGGCTAATAAGTAATGTAATCTGATGAAATGGTTGCACTGTGATAATGTCAAAACTATGCTTTTGTAAGCTTTTCTAACTCTTCTCATTTTTAAAACATCTTCTACAAATAACATGCTGCTATTTTGAAGAATGGGGATGTTGAGACTGCCTATTATTTTTTTTAGCATTTTGTACCTGATTGGATTATTCATAGGTGGCTTGCTGGGGAAAAAATGCAAGGATTAATAAGCAATAAAGATGATATAAAGTACAAGTAAGAATGGGATAATTATGTTTCCATACTATTCCAACTCTTCTACACTCTGTAATGGATTCAGTTAGGGAATAACTATACACAACATAGTACAATATAAAACTCTCCCTGTCCAGTTATTTCATCAGTTTCAAATTGATTTCTGTTTCTGTTCCAGATCAATTTTATTTTTTTATTCAATATTGTCAGAATCCTGATGACCAAGCTTCGGGCCTCGACCACCTCAGAGACCATACAGTACAGGTATTAATCTAGCTGGGGAAGGAGCAGTGCAAAAGGTAAAGGAGAGAGAGGATTATAAGAAGGTCTGTCCTAAAAACAAGAGAAACTCCACCAAGAAGCTGACTGAAACAGCTGCTTCAGGAGGGAGATGCAGGAGAGGAAAGTCAGCAGAGTAAGTGGGAGGCAACAGTGTAGTTGGGAGAATGTATACCAAACCAACACCACCCCTTACTATTTACTTACTACTCCCTCAAAGAGGACAGAGAATAATGGCTCATTGCCTGCACTGAAATAGGATTCAGTACTAGACCAATTCAAGTTTTATTATCATGCCTTCTTCCCCATGATGAAAAAGTGTGTCTGGCATGGAAAACAGATTGTAGAATTGAATGTTGATATCAAGTCCAATCTTACAGCACAGTAAGATGGGAACATGTCTGGTAAAATCTACTGCCTCAGACTACTGGTGAAGGATACAGTTTGTTAATGTTCTCATGTAGAATATTGCTTGTCAACAGGATCAGAAGTTGCAATTATTCTTTGGCCTGGTGTCCTAATTTTCTATTTGCAATGACTCCAGCAGCAGAAAGTCATGCACACACATTGCACATCTGAAATTTATCAACTTCTCCCCACTTGTTCTGCTACCTAAGGTCCAGCATAATAATTCACTGGTGCAGCAATGAGGTACTAAGGTTATAGTCTGGATGGTAACATGTATCCTCTTTCTTCAGGAAAGCAGTGAAGGCCACCCTTGTGCTTCTTCCATTACTAGGAATAACCTACATGCTTTTCTTTGTTAACCCTGGAGAAGATGAAATATCCAGGATAGTCTTCATTTACTTCAACTCCCTTTTGGAGTCCTTCCAGGTAGGCTGAACCTCATAAAAATTAGAACTGAAATGAATTAGAAGGGAGGTTGGGAACATGGCATTAATATAGATCTGATTTTTCAGTGATATTTTATATAAGATATATAAATACCTATCAAAGGTATTTTACATATTTATTTAACATACTGCTCCTCCATCATTCCCAGTTATGAACTCTGTTCTGATAAAAGATAAGCTGCAGGAGCAGTGATTTTCACACACACTTTCCTCCTGTTTCAAGGAATGGGGGGAAACCACATCAACATAACTGAAGGAGGACCACTTGCTAAAAGGTTGACAGAGTCAAAAGCTAAAAGTGTTTAGTGAATTTGTATTTAATTTAAATGTAACTACATTTTTAAAAATGCAACTAGTTGAAAACTCTCCAAGAATTGAATAATATTCTTTATGACATTAAAATTTCAATTAAGTGACATGTTTTGATGAGAACCCACACTGCACGTTGTGTCCAAGGCACTGGAGGCCTCAGATTGTGCATTTTTGTTACAAATACTGTTATTAAACCCCAGGCACAATGAATCCCATTCTTTTAGTTAGCCACAGTCCCTTTTCTTGTGCAACACTGGAAGGAATATGTTGTATAGTTCAATCTTCTGATTAATGTAGAAAATTCAGAAATTGCCAACGTGCAAGCAAGGAGAATCTAGCAGTAGAGACCCCACTTCTCTATTAGATAATAGGCAGAAGTCATGTTGTAGAGCAGATTTACTGATTACAGATATGAACGCTAGTATGTGCCTATTGAAAGAAATTAATCATTGAACTTGCTTCGTAGAAAGCCTGAGGGAAAAAGATCACGATCATTATTTTCTCTTCTCTAAACAGTATTTCATTCCATCTTTTTTTCTTCTCCATCCAGGGCTTTTTTGTCTCCGTTTTCTACTGCTTCCTGAACAGCGAGGTGAGTTGGGGTTGGAAATGAAAAAAAATGCATGCCATCAAGGATATGCTTTTTATTTTTATTTTTTTTAAAAAATAGTCTTAAGCTTTCTTTGGGAGAACTACTATTATAGGTTAATAAAACTCAGACTGTAGCAAAGGTAGTATGAAAAGAGTAAGTTTTTAAAGTTTCAAATTTTGGTTTAATTTTTGAAATTGGAACTTCCAAGTTTGTTTTAGTGTTTAAATGTTCCTTTTGAGGAAAACATGCTGGTCAATATAAATATGATAAATTTAATACCTTTACTAAATTAAATGTATATGTGTAATACTTTTTTTTAAAAAAAATAGACATTTGTGAGAGGAAGATATAAATGAAAACTTTTAAAAATGAGAACAATTTCAAGATGAGAAGACTTGAGTTTTTTCTCTCCAAATATTTTGTTTCTAGCTTTTAAGGAGAATTGATATAATGTCTAGAGTAGTCTTTCTCAATCTTATGTTATATAGGAATTCCCACCCAGAATGGTAAATCAGGCTAGCCTTTCTACAGGCAGTCCTCAAATTACAACCACAATTGAATCTTAAAATTTGGTTGCTGAGATGGTTGTTAAATGAGTTTTGCCCCATTTTACGACCCTTCTTGCCACAATTGTTAAGTAAATCACTGCAGCTGTTAAATTAGTAATACAATTGTTAAGAGAATTGAGCTTCCCCACTGCTTGCTTGTGAAAAGATGACCACATGATTCCAGGACACATCAGCCGTCACAAATATGAGCCAGTTTTTAGACATCCAAATTCTGACATGACCATGGAGATGCTGCAACCATTATGTGAAAAACAGCCATAAATCACTTTTTTCAGCGCTGTTGTAACTTTGAACAGTCACAAAATTTTATGAATGTTAAGCCAAGGATTACCTGTATTCCTAAAATAGGTGCAAAACATGGGTTTGGAGGATTGGCTTAAAGAGAATCAAGTAAGACAAACTGCACACTGGTAGTTTTATGTCTGAACAAGGAACACTCATTCCTGAAGAATATCTGTGTCCAACTTACAGGGCAAGAGCTATTTCCTCCTTCTTTATCTTGCCTCCCCACAGCTTAGTTATCCAGAAATCAATTTCAGCCACTGCTTGTGATACAGCAGATCTTTTATTTTTTTTTTCAAATTGAATCCTACTTCTATCATCATTTTTAATCAGCTGGAAAATATTGCTATTGTATCTACTTTATCTGAAAAGACCTACTTGTTGTATAACCAACTTTAGGTGAATTAATAAGTAAACGTACCATTGCTACAGAGTATCCTCAGGAATGTGATTACTGGGACTGAAATTTGCTCCAGAAGATTATTGTTTTTTTCTTTCAGAATTGTCAACCATTTTACTTACAGTGCTTAGGAGTTATCCTGTGTCCATTGCCTTATGAAAAATTAAAATAGTAGCTGCCCAACATTAATTAAACAATTTTTCTCTAATTATTTGCATACGTTTTCTGAGAAAATAAGAATTTTTCACATGTGGACATTTAATACATTTTTCTTTGATAAAACGTTGATAAACACGCTCATTACAGATTATAGACTGTGGTTTTGCATTTATGAAAGCTAAGGATTCACAGTGCACCCTTTAATATTTTTGTACAAAGCAGATTCGTTGTGATCTAAAAACCTTGGCCTTCAGGGGTTTTCCCTTAAAATAAATTTCATCTTCAATCAATGGGATCATATATTGGGTTGAAATGTTTCCAAAAGTTATGAGACACCCAAGGCAGCTCTAATACATCAAGAATGGCCTTAGTCTTTATTGAATCTGGGTCTCCTTTCAGAGGAGAAATTGGGAAGTAATAATGTTTATTTTTTGTGTGATTTTTTTTTTAGGTCCGTTCTGCAGTACGAAAGAGGTGGCACCGATGGCAGGACAAACACTCCATCCGTGCCCGAGTAGCAAGGGCCATGTCCATTCCTACATCCCCAACTCGTGTCAGTTTCCACAGCATCAAGCAATCAACAGCTCTCTGAGAGTCAAAGTTTAGGGAGAAAATTTTTACTGTCTTTCCTAAGTTACAGTTTAGGAAAGGCCAAGAGATTTTGTCCGCATTTTGCAGACATTTTATGGTAGAAACTGTTTGCATTGGAAGGGAATGTTTGTGAGATTGGAACTGCAAGTCCTGGCAAACCAAGTGGTTCTGAGACAAGGTGAATTCCAAGGCCTACGACCGCAATGTTTCATCCTAAAAAAAAAAAAAAAGTTATGGCCGATTTTATTTTCTAATACACCTGAAGATTTTTGTTCTATTTGCTTACTGGTTTAGAAAATGGTTTATCTATCACAAGCGTTGCAGAAAAAAAGTTAGCAGTTGGAATTGGTGAGCAATAAGCAAAACAAAATGCAGCAAGATTAATCTTGGAATACTATCTCACATGGTGCACATAAAAGGCTTTTTTAAAAGGACTTATTAGTTCATTAAGATAGATGCAGCTAATGTCCAATACAAGGCAAAGGCACAAATCTCACATTCAGGACCATGTATCTGATTCCGTGGAATAAATAGAGCTGGTGGACACTGCCATTATGTAAACTCCCTTAGTAAATATCCTTAGGACATCTGACTCCTATATGAAGATTTAAGTGGTAAGAGAAAGTAGAGCTGTTCCCATGTTCTTCCTCATCTAAATCTGCTGCAGGTGACGCCAAAGATCTAAAGCCTGGTGGACTCTCATTCAAGATGATGATTAACCTACTCGTTCCATGATTCAGATAATATTACCTGATTTTCACCATAGACAGCCTATTTGAGCCCCAAAATGGAGTGGGACAATAATGCATTCCTTTTGGTATCTCTTAATAAAAAATAGTACCATCCTTTAACCTTGCTTGCAATTTTTTAGGAATCTCCTGCACAATTCTTTCCTTGCCCAGAAAAATTTAGCCATATCTACATATGTATTACACTATGGAGAAAGGGGAGGGAGGGAGGGAGAACAGGACCGAGCACAAAATTCCCCAAAAATGTTGCTTCTTCACCTTTGCTTTTCAAAGCAAGCTGCTTAATGAAGAACATTTGAAAGCATGGTGACAATTCTGGTAACGACCCAGAAGTCATAATAGAAGATTAATCAAGGTTTTTGTGATCAAAAGAAAATACTACTTTACTTTTTCCTATGATTATAAATTTGTAGGACAATTTTCACTGTAAATATAGGAACACAGCTTTCTGCAGAATTTGGATTAATATTCATAAGTCTTCACTTGAATACCTTATTTTCTGTAACTTGGGCCACAATTCCCATAAAAATACTTTCTGCATCATCAGCATTTTTGTTGGAATTTATAAACAAAAATCCAAGAATCTGCTCAAGCATTAAGATCTGTCTCTTTCTTGTAATTTGGAGTATTCGTGTGAATGAAGTTCAGGCTCTGAGAGTAATTGAGCCATTTGCTAATAGCTTGATGTTAGAGAAGATCCTAGCAGAAGTGAACTGCAAACAGGGAATTCCAAAAACTTTGCATTATATGTTACTAGACAATCCATGCCTCATTGGGTCATTATTTTAGAGATATTTCTTTACCTAAGCAAAGGCAAGCAAAAAAACACCAGTGGGAATAAGAGCAATTTGACTTCCTACAGAGACTTCTGCAGTGAATTTCCTTTTGGAAATCTGAAATTGTCTTCCCTTCCCTTCTCAACAGGCCAGTAATGGCAGCTGCAGGGAAGGGAAGGGAGCAAGGGATTGCAAGACAGTTTATTCAGAATGACCAGAAAATGGTTGCTGATTAACTAGCTGGGCATTTCAGAGTCTTGTGGAGAGAATATCATTTGGATATTGATAAATAGGAAGGAGGGAATTGTTAATAACCCCTTGGATCTGTAAGTTTTTAAAATCACTGCTGGTGGGTCATTCAGTCAGTGGATATTGCCTTCCCTGGATATGTTGAAAATGACCACAGCAGCAACCCAGCAGCACTCAATCAGGCACAACTTCCCCAAATTTAATTCCCACAGGAGTCATGGGTCCCATATTTTGGACACATTCTGTAAATTAACCAATTTGAGGTACCTTGGTTCAAAAATGTTGCTCTATGATGCACCATTTTGATCAGTTAAAGGTCATGAGAACAAGAATTGTAATGATATATAGACTTAGAAGTGGAACCAATTCTTGTTCCATATTATCTAGTTCTTAAAATTAGACTAGTAGTCAAAGTTTATTAAGCCAACAACTTTGTGAAATGCCTAATGCAAAAAGAGGGAAAGGGGAAAGGCTGTGATGGTGGAGGTCCAAGCAAACATCTACTTAATCACTGGTTTTGTAGAAATCACAAGGTGTGTAAATCTGGAACATTTAAATTACTTATCGGAGCTCTTCAAGTACTGTACAACTGAATATAAAAGCCCTTTTGATAATATGTCTGAGTCAATAGCCTTGCAACAGGTAAAACCTATCAAATGTGCTCTACGTTTCAAAAATATATCCAGGAAGGCAATATCCACTGACAGAGTGACCCACCAGCAGTGATTTAAAAACTTACAGATCCAAGGGGTTATTAACAATTCCCTCCTTTCTATTTATCAATATCTAAATGATATTATCTCCACAAGACTCTGAAATGCCCAGCTAGTTAATCAGCAACCATTTTCTGGTCATTCTGAATAAACTGAATAAAGTAGCAATCACTCATTCATCTTTATAAAAGGTTTATCAAAATAGCTATTGCTAAGTCAGATTAAAGTCTGAAGAATCTTAAGAGTCAGTCTTAAGTCTGACTAAGACTGAGGATGGGCTCCAGCATGAGTCTGAAAGCTCAGAAGAGTAAATCTCTGGTCCTGGTGATCGACCCAAATTCAATCTTGCATCATTATCCTGGGACACGTGTATTTACCCTCATTCACAAGTCAGATTAGCACACTATTGAGGCAATGGAATCCAATTCCTAACACCCATTCCAGCTAATTTGTCTAATCTGATGACTGTTTCTTGAAACATGCAGCATTGTCAGGTCATTCCAACATTGTATTTCTCCAGGCATGCTTTAATACAATACGCAGGCCTGAGAAAGAGTAGATCTGCACTGGGTAAGATAGAAGGGGTATGATGATAAAAAAAATTGCATATGCAAAAAATTCATGTTTCATATCATCATGAGCTCCCTGATGTTCAGTTATAAAATGGAGAAGCTCCAAACCATTTTGAGGCTGCGACCTCAACCCCAAATACTTGTTATAATATGAAAGATGCAGAACAACTTCTGTTGAAGATTGTTACAAAATATTCTATTTGGTTCATACCTGTATACGTTCTGGGATTGAACTATGTGGTTTAAAAGAAAATACGTGGTTAAAAAAATGATAAAACTAAGTTCTACTGTATTAGTTTTAAATCCGATATTGCTTCCCTAACCTAGAGGCCATGGCCAACTTTATGATGAAAAACAAAATGGCAGCCTACATATATCAAGAATATACAAGTTGGACTTTAACACTGGCCTGGTAAATAATCATACACCTGGAATTGCCTGTCACAGTAGTGTGGACCAAAATATTGTAGTCCTTACACAGCAGCAGCTTTACCATTCTCTTCAAAACTGGCTTAATTACCAGTAGATGTAGTAAGCAGACTATTCTAAAATGTTCCAATCCAGAATTCTCAAAAAAGAGGCTGTTCCTGACTTTTCTAAGTTTGCTTTCTCAGGAGCTGATGGATGTTGTTGTTGTTGTTAGTTGCAAAGTCACGTCCGACCCATTGCGACCCCATGGACAACGTTCCTCCAGGCCGAGCTGATGGTAAAAGAGCACTAATAACACTTTTGAAGGCATGGGTCATCTTTTCCCAAATTCCATGAACAGCAGTGAAGTCCAAATCACAACATAACACCATTTCCCGATTCTGAACTACTGTTCCCTCATGACATTTCCCATCAAAAGAAACAATGGCAATCTGCTCAAAATGAGATTTTTGGCCAAGGGTAATGTTGGGCACTGGTTAAATTTACAAAAATAGGGAAAAAGAGGAGAATCATGTTGTGGACTATGTCAAGGGAAAAAAGAACTATGTCTGTGGAATCTGTTAATAAATGCCTATTGTGACTGTGGTTTCCAAGACATAATCACATATCAGTGAATTGCAGTTAATTTTGGATAGTCAAACTTGACAAGCTAGTGGTATTACCAAGATAAATCAATAATTCAGGGAATGTAGCAGATGATCATGAATATTTCACTGGCTCCATGCCCTATAAGGGCATGCAAAGAAGTTCTAAGGCGGCCCAAGCAAAAAAAAAACCTGCCAAGTCTCCAAATAGACAGGGATAAGGGGCTAATATGATGCCAGAATCAGAACTCAGATTGTTCCCAGCAAAAATGCTATAGCAGAAGGGAAGACATCCTAAAGAGGACACAGTCTAGGGCAGACCCAGTGAAGAAGCAGTCACACAACGTCAAGCCGTTGAGAAAGCAGTAGGCCCAACTACAGGTGGGCATGCCCCTGTGGCAACTGTATTGGCTTGAATATGTGATTCTAGGACATCAGTCACCCCAAGTTCATGTTGTTGATGTTCACGAAAGACATAGCATCTGGTGAGGGAGTAGTTAAAAGATGAGCATTTTGGTGCCGAGATGCAGTAGTTGTGTCAGGGAGTCCCCCATGAGTTCGCTGATGGCGTTTGAGATGAGCCCGGCGAGCAAAGCGCTTTCCACAAGCTGTGCATGGATAGGGACGCTCCCCAGTGTGAGCACGTTGGTGGATGAGAAGCTCTGAGCGCTGCAGAAAGCGTTTAGAGCAGACAGGACATGCATGAGGGCGCTCCCCCCGATGCATACGTCTGTGCTTACTGAGGTTTGAACTGACACTGAAACGGCGTCCACACTCTGTGCAGGCATAGGGTTGCTCACCAGAATGTGAGCGGATGTGAATAGTGAGGTCAGAGCGTTGCAGGAAGCGTTTCCCACACTCTCCACACCCATAGGGACGCTCCCCTGAGTGCAGACGCCTATGTTTGCTGAGCGCTGACCGCTGTGTAAATCGCCTCCCACACTCTCCACAGGAATAGGGTCGGTCAGGTTCTGGAGGTGGAGTTGGGGGTGGAGGAGGTGTTACAAGGCCTCCACCACATTCCACACAGCGGCGTGATCGCCTATGGCGCTCTAAATGGCAACCCCAGCGGAAACGGCGCCCACAGTCTCTGCACTGATGTGGTTTTTCTGCTGTGTGACGTTGCTGATGCCGTTCCAAATTTGCTAGGATTCGGAATCGTTTGCCACATTCATCACAGGCATGGGGTTTTCGAGACTGGGTAGAAGCTGGGTTACCTGGCAGAGCCTGGGTATTCAGTGGCCCTATAGAATTTAGGCTCAAGGTAGAAGAAAATTCAGGGGCAGAATTCAAGAAAGGAATCAATGCAGAATTATGAGGGGAGTTAGGTCTTAATGATGGGTTTGCAACAGTTCTCCTGCATGACCCACAATGATGAGGCTTCTCCCCTGCGGGAAAACGCAGACGTCTTTGTGTGTAGTGTGGTTTTTGCCATCCTAAGAACTGGGCTCTTTCAACGAAAGATGGGCAGATTCTCCCAGCTTCCTGGGAATCATGGCTCATGTTTGGGAATGGACTGTGGTTAATACTCTCTCTAGGCTCAAGGCCTGCCCCCCATCTTGTTCCTAAAGAAATTTGCTGGGTAAGAGTATTCTTACACCCTCTCATATCTCCATGAATCATCTTGGGTTGTTTTGGTCCTGCCAGTCCTGGATGCTTGAAGGACACTTGAGCTTCATTCCCAAAGGGTTTTCTGGATAGCACAGCTGGTCCTTCCGCTATTCCAGTATGGAGTTCCCTTGAAATCTCCAAGTTATTTTGTCCCACTGTTTCATCACCTGTTGAAGCAGAAATGTGGTTATAGTTCAGCATCTTGGAAAATAAACATGGGTGGGAACATGTGACCTTCAAAATACTGGCTGAAAATCAGTTCTCATTAACCCAACCAATGGCCAATCTGGCTGTGATGGACTGGAGCAGAGGTTCAACAACATTTGGAGCACCACAGTTCCCCATCTATGAAGTTCCCTCTTCTACACGTTTAAGAGAATATCGCTAGTTATTTTCTTATATCGGATTACATAAGATTTAGATTCAGTCCCTCAGATTTCAATCAAAATAACTCAAGCAGTACCTTTAGTTTAGAGCTCAGAAATTTGCTGTCAAACATTAATGAGTCTACAAATGGCCTACCTAATAGTTTATTAAGAATAAAAGATTCAGTTCACTGGTGAAGATTTTTAAGTTAAAAATTAGGTTTCTTAACCACAATTTTAGCTCATGTGTCTGAATCCCTCATCATCCCAAACCGAATCCACGAAGTATTGCTAAATATATGCTATATTTTCATATTTTATTTATTTGATTTCTCCATCATTCTTCTTCACCATACCACAGAAACAGACAGTTGCAATGTTTATTCTGAATTATAATTAGGACTGTTGCACTTGGAATTCTGTTTCAAGATATGGCAGTCTCTATCTGGTAAAGATCCAGTAAATCTATCAGTCATTTTACATTACTCAAAGAAAGGGATTGAGGAATCAGGGAAAAGAAGGTAATCTAAAGAAGGAATCTATGAAGAAAGGATAAAATGAATGCAGTACATGTATCAGCATGGACTTCCCCCCCCCCCCTGTTTTGCTATTAATAGGAAGAAAGGATAGCTGGGGGGGGGGCAGTCAGGGGTGAGAGTAAGAAGCTTTGAACCATGGAAGCCAAGATGATTTTTTAGTATTGAGAAATAGCTCTGAATCATACATAGTATTGTGTATGCTTGAAGTATATATAAATATATTTATATAAATATATTTGGAATACTTACACGCATGTCCTTTGTTAAGATCTGCCTCCACCCCCCTATCTTTCCACAGGAGCCTAAAGACCTGACTCTGCTGATTGGCCTGGGGTCCAAATGGGGAATTTCTATGCTGGAGGTGGCTGTTGGATTGATGGCAGACTCTTTCTCCCCCCCTCCCCCTGTTCTCTATTCTCCACCCATCCATCTTTTGTTAGAATATTGATGTATTCTTGTTGCGTTCTTTTTCATTGTTCATTTTATTGTTCTGTTATTTTATTCTGATTTGTTTATACTCTTTTTATTTCTTCGTTTTTTATTGTTATAAGCTGCCTAGAGTAGTCCCATGGGGATCCTGGCAGGAAATATATTTAATAAATAAATAATGATATGAATAAATATATTTAAAGTGTTAGATATGGACTTGGAAGTTCTGTCATTGCTTGACCATACAGTTCACTGAGTGATTTTAGGTTAGCCGTTTCTCTCAGATCAACCTATTCCACAGGAATTTATTTACTCACTTATTTATAACAAATGCTTTTGTCATTAAAAAATCTAAGTGGTTTACAAAAACAGAATACAATAACTTATGACATATAACTCAATGAAGAACAAAATCACAATGAAATCATCAACATCATAAGTATAGGTAGCTCTTGACTTAAAACCATATATTAGTGCCTGTTCGAAGTTACAGTGGCACTGAAAAAAAGTACTTATGACCAGTCCTCAAAATTGTGACTAGTACACCATCTCTACAGTCACATGATCAAAATTTGGGTGCTTCGCGACCGGCATATTCTTTTCTTTTCACAATTTATTATTTTTATTCAAAACATTAAAATACAAACTCCCAAAAAACTAAAACAAAACACAACTACGCTACACAAAAAAGAGTGCATAAAATAAAAAAACAAAGCAGAGATAAATTCCTCCCAGTTGAATACTGATAAATATATTTCAAAGATAACTCCTCCCTCTTGTGAAGCAGGCACCCAATTTATAAATTTCTAGAACAATATTTACCCAACCCAGTTAGCCTGACATCTATCTACTATATGGAAACATAGTTAACAGGCAAAACCAACAATTAAACTTCAAAACCCTCTGTTAATAGTGTATTTATTGTATTTCACATGCAGAAAGTCCACAACAGCTTCTGGTCAACTGTAAGTCACCACAATCATTGTCTCTGATCCAACCAGGTTCAAGTATTCTCGATTGATTCTAAATAATGAGGCTTTTCTTTAAGATATTAATCAGAATCTTTCCTGACAATTGGATTTTATTCCCTAAAATCATGAGTTCTTGCTGTGTATATCTCCACAGCATTTGTTGTCCAAAGAAGTCTCCTGTAAATTGCAACATAACATCTCTTAACATTTGTTTTCCAATTGGGTAGTGCAAATTGTAAATCTGGTACTGTTGTCACTTGCACTTGGTTACCATCTTCGAATTAGTTTAAAACTTTATCAAGCTTTTTATCCAAATTTTCAGTTGGATTTGTAAATTGAAAAATACCGTATTTTCCGGCATATAAGACGACTTTCTAAACCCTGAAAATCTTCTCAAAAGTCGGGGGTCGTCTTATACGCCCAGTCATCTTATACGCCGGAAAATACGGGTATTCAGGCAGGCTTCCAGAGTTCGGCTGGCAGGATGCGGGTAACCCCTCCCCCCGTCCTGCTGCCTCCCACCGCACCGCGCTGCTCCGCATCCCGCGCCTCCGTGTCTCAAGCCTCTGTGGCACAGAACTGCTGGCGTTATGCTTGGGCGGAAGACTTTTTCTTTTACAGATGGGGCGGGTGGGCCTGACATTCGCGCGCAGGCAGGACCCCGCCCGCCAAGCCACCGCTTCCCCATCGCCCTCCACGCCAGCCTGCTCCATCTCCAGACCTCCCAGCTGACGGGCGCAGGTCCGGGGGTCGCCAGCTGACGGGCGCAGGAGTTCGGCGCTGCAGCGGCCTCCCCTTCGCCCTCCGCACCGGCCAAAGCGTTGCCTGACGTTCCGGCTGACGGGCGCAGGTCCGGAGGTCGCCAGCTGACGGGCGCAGGAGGTAGGCGCTGCCGCGGCCTCCCAGCCGCTTGCTTCTTCGCCTGGAGCAGTTGCAAGGGCTTGCATGGTCGGCGGCGGCGGGGAGCGCATCAGTGCGTCAGCGTCAGCGGCCCTTGCAAGCCCTTGCAACTGCTCCAGGCAAAGAAGCAAGAAGCAAGCGGCTGGGACCGTCAGCTGGCGACCCCCGGACCTGCACCCGTCATCTGGGAGGTCTGGAGACGGAGCAGGCTGGCGTGGAGGGCGATGGGGAAGCGGTGGCTCGGCGGGCGGGGTCCTGCCTGCGCGCGAATGTCAGGCCCACCCATCCCATCTGTAAAAGAAAAAGTATTCCGCCCAAGCATAACCTTTAAGTATTTTAAGGATCTTTGAGAGGGAGAGAGAAATAGAGGGAGAGAAAGAGGGAAAGAGAAATAGAGAGAGGGAGAGAAAGAGGAGAGGGAGAAAGGGAGAGAGAAAGAGGGAGACAGGGAGAGAGAGAAAGAAGGAGAGGGAGAGAGAAAGGGAGACAGGGAGAGAGAAAAAGAAAGGGAGACGGACAGAAAGGGAGAGAGAAAGAGAGAGGGAGGGAGAAAGAAAGAGAGAGAGGGAAAGAGAAAGGGAGAGAGAAAGAGAGGGAGAGAGAAAAAGAAAGAAGGAGAGAGATTAAATTAGCAACATGGCTGGCTGTTCAGTGAATCTGGTTTCCCCACTAACTTTGCTTGTCACAAGGTTGCAAAAGGTGATCACATGACCCTGGAACAATGTGACTATCATAAATAAGAATCGGTTGCCAAGCATCCGAATGTAAATCACATGACCCTGGGGATGCTGCAGTGGTCATAAGTGTGAAAAATGGTCATATGTCACTTTTTCCAGTGCCGTTGTAACTTTGAACAGTCACCAAGCAAACTGTTGTAAGTTGAGGACTACCTGTACTTTATCACTTTTTTCCTTTTTTTTTTTTTTGGTCATCAAGCTTTTGACACCTTGCTGGGTGACTGGTGGTATTTGAATGTACGGTATAAGATTTTCACCATGTTAGCCACTTTTCCAACTTTTCGGGACCGAATCTTTTGTTTGTCGTACCGTCGAGGGTACCCAAATAACAGAATAGGAAGGAAAGTCGAAATCTTACTTAATCCTTTTCAAATTAGGTGAACGTGACAAAATACAAATGTACAAACTACTGTTTGTCGGAATACAAATAAAGTGACAATTTTCCTGCTAAGTACCTGCATGTCATAAGCATTTGAATTAAAATTACCATATTGAAATCAAATCTGATGTTTTTTAATTTTTATTTGGTGTGCGTTGGAACAGGGGTAGTCTTATACGGTGAGTAAAGCCCAAACTCTATATTTTAACTGGAAAAGTTGGGGGTTGTCTTATACACCCAGTCGTCTTATACGCCGGAATATACGGTATTCTTTCTGCCCAGCTTTCCCAATAAGCTTTATCTTGATATATTGCTTGCATTTTGACTATATTTTGATATAGTCCAAAATACTTCAATAGTTAAAACTTTTTCAGCTGAAACTTTTACAGCAGGTCATAAACAACTCCTCTCAGATAAGAAAAACATCTTAAGGTTTCCCAGCAAAAAAAAAAAAGAAAAAAGATTTTCATCAAAAATTTAAAAAAATAAGGTTATAATTTTTTTTAAAAAGGTTATAAAATACAAAATCTTGTATTTTGATACAGTGTGATACAGATGTAAATCAAATCAGATCTTTTTTACTACCCAAATCGTACTGTGTTTTCCATGCTGAAAAGGCGGAAGTGATTACGGTAGCTAATAAAACAATAAAAACCTTTAAAATCCAGCAGGGAGTTAAATTAAATCAGCATTCAACTGGTTGATTAACATTTGAAGGTAAAAATCAGAAAGAAAAAAATATATCAAAACATGCCGTTAAAAACACAGATATTCTTAAAACACAGGCAGCTGGAAGGAAAGATGGAGACTCATCCTCCGACTGCTCCCCACTAAGAATTGCAACCTTCTATGTCTTCTTCTCAGGTAGGTCCACAGTCATTCAAGAGTCATCCTGAATCATTCCTACTAGCTCCTGTTCAAATCTGGGAATTGTGTTGCCACATGAGCCAGTTTGGGCAGCAAAACCGGCTGTTTGTCAGGAGGGAAAAAAAATTATTGCGGAGTCAGGACGCCATCTTGGGAAGATTCTGCAACTGGCACATATTTATGTTGGTTGCAGCATCCTGAACTCATGTGGTCACCATGTGCAACCTTCCCAGTTGGCTTCCAACAAGCAAAGGAAATGGGAAAAGATGAATTCACTTAATGATTTACTTAAAAACCACAGCAAAAGAGGCTGTAAAATCAAGCCCAACTCACTTAACCATTTCTCAGTGGTTAACACGTTTTTGTCAAATCCCTTGAATTAAAGTTGCACATCTTCACTTTGCTCACATCTTGAGTGTTTCATTTCGAATTCAGTGTGTAGTGTACAGACCCCTATTTTTTTGCCTCAGTCTATATAAACTTGACCGTACATCCTAAGAGTGTGGGTACAAGTGTAGGCAGAATCAATGTCAGTTTTGCTACTGTAGAGATTCAGTTAAAAGAGATCCTCTCAGAGAAAACAAAAATGTAAATGATATAAACAACAGTGATTTTAGAGTGTAAAATGGCCAATTTTGGGACTGCAGAACTCTTTTTAAAATTTTAATATTTAGCACGGGATAGGCAGTATTTTTATCCAAGAGTTGGATGGATAAATATACATCCAAATACATTTGTCCTCAAAGGGCTGCAGGAGGCATGGTTATGATATCACTAATATTGCCAATTTAAATGAGGGAAAATCAGATCCAATTTGCTGGGGATTTTTTTTTCTTTAAAACCACTCAGTGTCACACTTGCTCCAACAAAATACCTACCTCCATGTCGAGGGCTCCTGCTCACTCTTTTCCGCCGCCTGACTCTTCCCTGCTGCTCCTGCTCCTTCACCAGCTCCCTGAGCATCTTCTCCACTTGAGCCTTCCCTATAGTTTGCAGAATTACCCCAAGTTGCCTCCGGATGTCTGGAAAAATCCCTTCCCCGCTTGACCCAGCTGTAGCTGCTGCTGCTTCGCCCTGTAAGGGAGCCAGCTGCCCTTGCTCAGGTTCCATTTCTAAGCCTATGAAGGAAAAACAATACAATATTGTATAGAAATATTGGAGATCAGGGTTCAACAGAGAATATAAAAACAAACAAGCAGAAGAGAGGGAGGAGAAAAAAGGAAAAAAAGAGATGGGTGTGTTACTTTGATCCAATCTGTATTTTTTCCAAGAAAGTAAGGATAAAACATTGATATTGTAGAATATACAGTATCTGTATTAAATAGAGCAAGGTTCAGATCAGTAACCTGATTTGACAGGTTACTGATTTGACAGGATGTTGCTTCAAAAAAGCAAAATCTGTAAACTGCTGAAAAAGTAGTATCACAGATCAGACTCATCCTGGTTCCTGGAATCATGAAGTTCCATTTACCCAATCCCTTGTCGCTGATTGTTCTAAAGCTCAAAATATGCTATTTTCTCAGTCTGGATAACATGTTGTTGGGCAAAGCTTTTCTTTTTGTTCTCAATTTGATTATAGTACTTCAAATTGCTGAATTGCAGCTCCCATCAACCTTATTAGTGTAGCCAATAATACAGGATGATCCTTAACAAATGAAGAACATCAGTGACCCTCGGTCTATAATCTATCATTAATGCTAACCTTAACCCTTTATTGATAGAATCCATATATTAACACCCGGGAGCATTTTTAAAAGGAATTTTACCTGAAATATAAAATTAAGACAAATATTTATTTCAGTCATGAACCAATTTATATTAATAGCAATAGCAATAATTCTTAGACTTATATATTGGTCCATAATGCTTTACAGCACTTTCTGAGTGGTTTACAAATGATAGCATATTGCCTCCAACAATCTAGGTCCTCATTTTACTGATTTTGGAAGGATGGAACTCCTGGCTGTGGGCAGAGTTAGCTGGCAATGATACATTCTAACCACTACACCACAATGGCTCTTAAATTAATAATTACTCCAATTTATTTAATGATTTCCCTCTCTACCATATTAACATATATAATGTTGCAATAACTTCTGGAAGGATTCTATACAAGGCTTTTTAGTGTTTTATATGAACCTGCGGTCACAATGCTCACAATCTGGAGATGGAAAACTCACAATTTGGAGATGGGGAACTATTTAAGATCCACTCAGCAAAAATCACCATGGCTTTTCTTAAAGGTCTTACCATGAGCCAAACCTTGACGTCCTCGAATCTCTGTAAAGGCAGCTATTCGGGGCCAGCTTATGGCAAGTTCTTCTGCTAAAAAAAAAAAAAAGGGCAGAAGAAAACATATTAATAAACCCAAGGTAGATTCTGCCTTTTTTGTTATCACTGTACTGTCAAAATATAACAGACTTCTACTACTCAGATAGCTGTGTTGGCTTAGGATTCTGGAAATTGAAGGCACCTAGATGGCATCAGATCAAGGAAGGTTGGATGAGACTAAACTAGGCAAAAACCATTAAATGTTTGATATATAACTTTTGGAGAGTTCAAGATGTTCAGTGTTTTCTATTTTGCTGAGCAGGCTTAATATTGTACTCTGAAGTGCACTGGCAGCTTATTTAGATTGCCTCAGTAAGAGCAATTAGATTTTATTGATAATATTCTCTGAAACTTAGTGCTGGAAATGCAACTGTGGAAGAATCATTGCTTTGTACTATTATCTTTTTTGCCCTTCATTAATCATCCCCTTCTCCCCCATGTAACAAGCAGCTGTTGGGAAATTTGGGGACTAGCTTCAAAGACAGAGGTAAGTAGTCTGGTGTCTTCCATTGGGGCTACAATTCCCATTAGTTGCCAGCCAATGAATAACCAAGAGTAGTGCTCTAGTCCAAACACCCAAAGGCAATCTCAAGGCATCTATGCATCTTGAGTACAATACAGTATCCATAAAAACTAACTCACAAGGAAACTGGTCTGTGTTAACTTCACAAGATGCCCCAGGCAGGATTCTTTCATAGACATTCTTATGTAGAAAGTGATTCCTTACAAGTAGAACATTTTGAACTCTCCATTTAAGTGCTTTATTTTGTTTTAGTAACCTATAAGTGTGACTGTTTATGAAGAACAATTCTTCTGTTTTAGTACAATCCTGCATCAATCACACTGAGAAACTCTAGAACTTAAAGAATATGCTATTACACTAAAAGTTTCAATCACATGCATGAAATAAAAGGATTGGAAAATAGCTTGAATTTGGTACCATCACACAATTTTATACTTGCCCATCTTCAAAATCTGTTAAATTGTTCTTACAAGACATAGCACCCATTAGTCAGACTGCTATGTGGATCCACAGAGACAATGCTCATTTTCAAGATTTAACTACTTATTCTCTGAAACCTTCCCTGAATAGGTCTTATTTGGCTTCAATTTTACTTATAACTGAAATGATACTGAAATGATATTAATACTTTCCCAGCTTATTATAAGAACACGCAACTGAGGGTCAAGTTCTAGTCTAGCACTGAAATTTGAAGAAATGGGATCCCTTACCCATTGAGATCACTGTTTCATAGCTCTCCTGCATGTTGGTCCACAGAAGAATTTTCTTTCTAAACTTCTTGAAGACTTTTCTCTCTATCTCTCTCAAGAGGCTGCAGAGAGCACTTAAATCAAGTAAAAAGTAATTGAAGAATCTGTTTGTTACAGAAATCATTGAGTGTCACTTCAGTGATCTTGGCAATCAGATATACAATAGTAATTTAGATTATTATGTCAATCTAGAAGCCTAGATCAAGAGTTGCTTTTCAGAATGAGATGGACAGCATATAAGAGAATGGATGGAGACAGACAGACAGGCAGACTTACATGGGAAGCATAGAAAGCAAGAAGCAGGACACTAAGAGAAAATAGTGCTTGAGGGTTTTGCATAAGATTGAAGATTATATTCTCCCAGAAGGTACTTCTATTCCGCTTTTGAACTGAAAGGATGAACTATGTACATGTGTAGGTGTTTGTATGAGAAAGAGAACAGATGCACACCCATGCTCCAGATATGAAGGTCCATGTATTATATATTGGTGCCATTTTCACATGTTGCACAATAAAGGGTTTCCTCTCAATTATATAAGACTTAAAACAGCCATCTTGATTCTGATGAACTTTATCTATACTGAAATATACAAAACCTAAGTTCTTAGTCAGTGAATTAATTGGAGCTGTGATCTGAATACATTTTGAGGGCAGTAACTTGGGGAAGGTTTTTTTTTCTGCCCTCTGAGAACTGTGGATCCTTGTTCTTAGGGAAAAAAGGAGCAATATGTTACAATTGAATATAAATATAGGAAATAAGTTGACTGTCCTACTAAACATGTGTATAGCAGCATACACATGTATAATTTTAGAATATATGCTTTCAAAAGTACATTTTAATGTAAATTGTGATTTGCAGCAGACATATTTACAAATTATCACATCACATAGGCATGTCTATCCCAGATCTGAGAGTGAATGCAGCTTCTCTTTAGAAGTACAGTATATAAAATGGTAAATCTGGGTTTCTTTCTTTATTACAAATAGTCCTTAAGTTCTCTATACTAAAATATAAATTCTTATGCCTAATGGTATTTGTATCATTTATTACAGCTAAACAGCTAAAATTTAATTTTTTAATGGAGAAAAACAATACTGTAGGCATATATGAAAAAATAAGAGATGGCATGCTGTGGAAATTCCAGTGGGACAGCAGAATTAGTCTGTTGTAATCAAAGCAATTATTATTTGGCATAAAGCTCTCATAGATTAAAATTTCCTTTTTCAAATATCAAGCGTTTACTTTTAAGGACCTATACTAAACATCTCCCAACAGCAAAGCTTCAGGAGCTATTACACATCCCCTGGAAACAAACTATTCCACAATATGGGATAATATATGTATGCTAATGAATAGGCATATCACAGGTGGCACTAAGAACACTGAAGTTATTTATTTAAAAGATTTGTATAGCTGCCCATCTTTACTTAAGACAATCCTGGGTGGATCACAATGTTTTGGCACAAGAAGGAGATCTAAATTATGTGGAAGTTGGCATGTGGGAGTGGATACATATATGATATATATATATGTGAAGAAGGTGGGGTCAAGGGGGCGGAAAAGGTTACAAAAGGCAATTAACACTGGACCCTCCTCATCCCCTTCCTCCATCAAAGTAACCCATCCTCACGTGGTACTACAGTATTGTCCCTTCCTTTGGGATTTGCATGCAGATCTGAAAGTCCAGCCAAGAAAACGGGAGATCAACCCCAGACCGAGATCCATCTATGTCCCGCATAGCCTCCATTGTTTCCTCCATGTGCATTGGATCTTGCGCTGGGAAGGGGAGGCAATCCGAGTACGGGCTGAAAAGGCCAGATTCTTGTATGCTTGTCTCGCACCCCCTACACTGTTCCACAAGGTTTACCTGCAGTAAGGCACAGACTATAGCGTCTGGCGCCTGCACGGGAATGGTGATGAACGATTAGAAAGCCCTCCCCCCTCCCTTGCAGGGAACTAGGATAAAAGAGAGAGGCTTAGGTAAACCAACTGCAAGATCCAGGAAGCTCAATTCCACATCCTGGCTGGAGAAAAGAAGGAAAGAGAAAAAGAGAGAAGACCTTCATTTCCCGCGGTCGGCCTCAAAGCAGGGCCCTCTTGTGGTTGATAGATCTTTCTTCTCTAAGCTCACTTTCCTTCCAATTGCTGTGCTTCTGAAAACTAAATAGGCTAAAGAACCGACGACATCCCTGATGTAGTAGACCACAAATACCAAGAGTCGCAGCCAGACGGGCATATGGTAAGGAATGCTGGGAGCTGTAGTTCTGCAACCTGTACAGAGGCATAGATTTCCCCCCCCCCTCAGGAGTAAAATACGATAGAGCAAAAGAAGGTACATCACATTACCCCCCCCCCCCCTTCGATTTGGGATTAGGAACAATGTAGAAATTTTGCATCCATATATATTTCTAAAATGAATTTTAGGAATCTAACATGTATGTGACTTACACAGGTATACCTTGTTTTTTGAGCTTTGCTTTATTGCAAATGCTTGCAATTGAGGAATGTACATTTTTAGACATAAATCCATTGCAAACTTAATAAGACTACAATAGAGTGTAAATATAATTTTTATATGCACTGAGAAACCAAATTATTTGTGTGTGTCACTTTATTCCCATATAGGGAGTCCTACAATAGTTCATTTAGTAACTGTTCAAAGTTACAAAAGCAGTGAAAAAAGTGACTTATGACCAGCATCCCCATGGTCACGTGATTTACATTTGGATGCTTGACAACTGATTCATAATTATGACAGTCACAGTGTCCCAGGATCATATGATCATCTTTTGCAAACTTCTGACAAGCAAAGTCAATGAGGAAGCCAGATTTACTTAATAACCATGTCATTAACTTAACCACTGCAGTGATTCGTGTAACAACTCTGATGAGAAAGGGCATATAATGGAGCAAATTCACATAGCAACTATCTTACTTAACAACAGAAATTTTGGGCTCAGCTGTGGTCATAAGTAGAAGTCTACCTGTATATGCTTCATTGTGGTGGTCTCGAATCAAACCTGCAATATCTTTATGCCTTGTATGCTGCTTCTCAAGATAAATTTGATACTGGCAAAGCTGAGCTGGGAATAGAACTAACAGTCAAGGGAAATTATTAAGAGATGACTGCAAAGGAATCACATTAATTATACTTAATAATTCATTAGTTGTAAATGAAATGATATTTGGTATTGTTTTTCCAGCTTCATGCAATATATTCTGGAATGTGGGTCAAGGGCTGCATATGCGTATAGTGCATATGCAGCCTATGGCCCAGAAAAGCTGCCCCTTCCTGGATTCTACATCACAATAATTAAAATTATTCAATAGAATAGGAAAATTAAATAACATCTCAAATGTCTACGGTTGTCCTTTTGCATCTCAATGTGACTAATTATGACAGTTTAGAGAAGGCAAAAACCTGACAATGCTCTGGTGTCCCAGCCAGTCAGCTTTCTCAGGAACGCCAACAATAAACCTGGGATTTTTTCATAGATATCTACAGCAAAATCAGATTACATCAAAATAGCGAATTGTGATTGATTTCATGATGCAAATCCTATCTTTATGCATTTGTATCTGGATATGTTTGATTGTATCTTTGGGAAAGTGGGAGATTAGTCATTTCTTCTTTCCAATTTCTCTCTGCATATAGCTCCTGCATTTGTATTACAGGTAATCCTCCACTATAGCTTAGCTATGGATCAAAGTTATGACAAATCTCTCCCAAAAGCTACTTAACTGTTATACGAGTTAGCAACCTGATTTTGAAGTTGCAATGGACGCATCTCCACCCTGGGATCACATGACTGAATTTTGGTTGCTTGGTAATTAAATCTTGCAATTAAATCTCTCAAATTTGGTACTTTATGTGGAAATTGTATATGACATATGATGAAAGACATTATCAGTGCACTGATGATGATGATGATGATGATGCTACCTAGTTTGGGTAATGAAACATCTGCAAGAAAACAACCAAGCTCAGAGAGTACCAAGAGCCCCTCATTTTAACCTTGGGCTACAAATATTCTCCTTTAACGGCAATTATGTTTCTAAAATATAGTATTTTAACTGGGATTCATATTTCTTTTGGTATGACAGTCTTCCCTTTTTGTTTGTGTGACCTTTTGGATTCCCCAAAGATGCTTCAGAGCATGTGAAGATGCAGATGCAACATTTTCCTGCAATTCCTTAAAGCAATCCCACTTTTTCCCAAGATCATACAGCTGCTTAGGAAAAGACATAGCCCTTTTAAAAAATTGCAGACAGGTGCCAGTTTGTCAGTCCTATACAATTCTACACATATTTGGGTAATTGAATCCAAAGTAGTGCAGTCCAGTTAATGAACCATTGCAGATATACATAAAAGCTTAATGGTGTGATGTTACATATAACCCAGTATCAGTCTACTCATGGTTTAAGATGACTCTTCTTTAAATGTCTTAAGAACATTATGTAGCAACAAGGAAGAAAGCTTTTTGATGGTAGCATTCCATTTCTGTATTCTTCTCCTGATTATGATGTATTGCTGATGATCTTAAGAGGTTTATTTCAGCATTTGTTTATACAGGTATTTCAATTGGCTGATATATTTGCCTATACTAGATTTGCATTCTTGGTCATTTTATGATAACAATTGAGCACAATTTTTTTTATCATACATGTATTTGTTGTTGTTCATGAGAATAAATAATAAATTTATCATTTTATATTGCTACACCACTTCCTGTACAACCATCTTGATTTCTAAAATATAAAATGTAATAATAAAATCAGTAAAACAATGTAAAAGCATGCTCAATAAAAAGGTGAAGGAAAACGAAAATAAAAACAAATTATCCATGCACCTAGCATTCTGAAAGAAAAAAAAATATGGGAAGAACAATTGCAAAGATCTAACCTTACCATAGAGCAGGCCTATGTATCAGTAACCACCAGATGGCACTGTACTATCATCAGCACTGGCTATGCTACCTGGTCAGGTAATGTCTGTGAACAAACTCTGGAGGCACCAAGGACTCCACAGTCCAACCTTGAGCTTCATATATTCTCTATTTGTACTGTAATATTCTTAGCACATGAAAAAAGGCCTCTTCCAATGATCTCAAGTGTTTAACCAGTTCACACAAGTAACCTAGCCAACTCTTAGAGAATTAAATGTCCTAAATGCGAGCCAGTTTGGGATAGTGGTTGTAGTGGGATAATGGTTAAAGCCAGTGGTGGGATTCAGCCGGTTCGCACCACTTCAGCAGAACCCGTAGCTAATTTTTTTGTTGCCCAGGCCCAGAACGGACTTCCGGAAGTAGCATCCACACGGAGAACCGGTTGTTCACATATTTGAATCCCAGCACTGGTTAAAGCACTGGCTAGAAACCAGGAGATTGAGAATTCTAGTTTTGCCTTAGTCCAAACTCTGTCTCAGTCTATCTGTCTGTCTGTCTCCCTCCCTCCCTCCCTCCCTCTCTCTCAACATATTCTTCTGGGTATAGAAGTCACTAGACCGTTTACTGACTGATAGCTGTAAGAGCGCCCCCAATTTGCATCAGCAGAGGATATATATACTATTCAAAATGAGATACAGGCATTTTCAGAGGCAGTCAAAATAATTGACATAATCATAGACTTGAAACCCTGCTCATTATGTGTGCAACATGTGTTGTTCAATTGTCCAGTTCTACCTACCATTTTGAAACAATTAACTTTTTTGCAAACATTTCTGGTGGAAAAAGATGTTTCAGATGTGTTTATTTATTTATTTATTAAATTTATATACCACCCTATCTCCCTTACGGGACTCAGGGCGGTGAACAGGCGATACTAAAAACCACAATAATAAATAAATAGTTTCTGTTCTAAAATCAAATTAAATAACAGGCCTGTTCTAAAAACACCCCATACAAAAACCCCCACTAAAACATAATCAAACTACGCCAGGCCGGCCGCACGGAATAGATGGGCCTTCAGGGCTCGGCGANGGGAGGTGTTTGGTAGGAGGCGGTCTTGCAAATACCTAGGTCCATTGCCATGGAGCACTTTAAAAGTTGTTACTAACACCTTGAAGCGCACCCGGAAGGCCACCGGCAGCCAGTGCAGCTCGCGCAGGAGAGGTGTTACATGGGAGCATCTAGAGGCCCCCAAAATCCCCCGCGCAGCCGCATTCTGAACTAGCTGGAGTCTCCGGGTGCACCTCAAGGGGAGCCCCATGTAGAGAGCATTGCAATAGTCCAGGCGGGAAACAACGAGGGCTTGAGTGACTGTGCGTAGGGCGTAGGGCGTTAGTGTGCTTGCTCTACCTCTCAGCATTCCTTAAAGAAGTCACACTTTTTCTTCGGCTTGCACTAAGGCTGTGTAGTCCGGGGAAAATATACTTTTGAGTTAAAGAGGTATTGAGGAGATAGCAATGCAAGCCCAGAAAAAGTTTATAGTTTCATCTACCCATGATGGATCCAAACCAGTGGTGGGATTCAAATATGAAAACAACTAGTTCTCTGTGTGGATTCCGCTTCCGGAAGTCCATTCTGGGCCTGGGCAACAAAAAATTAGCTACCAGTTCTGCTGAAGTGATGCAAACTGGCTAAATCCCACCACTGATCTAAACTACTTTTTTATTGTGCATCTGAAGATTGTACACATCTAATCTGGAAGCAAAGTTGTTTAATGAAAAGAGAAAAACACTCAAAGAGGACATAAGGCAGAATGCTGAAAAGCCTGCCCACATATATTGATATAGCTCAACCCACTACAGAGGAATCAGTCTGTGCACTGTCTGATGACTGGCTTCTGAAGCAATTGTCCAAGTCATGTTTCTTATATATTTTTAAATTTTGGTTTTACTCTAATTTTCTTGTTTTGATAGTTGTGAGCCACACAGAGTCATTGGAAGTCACCTCCTGAACAGATGGGCTGTATACAAGCCTATTAAATAAATTGGAAGTTGAAAGATATTCAAGGTTAATAAAGTAATAATATACTTGGGTTTAGCAACTTTTTGAAGGAGGATGAAGACAGAGAGAGAGAGAAAGCCAATTTAAACCTGAAAAAAGAGCTGGTTTCTGCCAGCTTTGTGTTGATGAGACCATCATAGTTCTTTTGCTGCTTCTGTTGAAAAGGCACTTCATATGGCTATATTTTATTTTCTAGAAGATGGTGCCATTCTGCCTATTCCAACTCAATTTTGCTGCTCCCCACAGGGTATTTTGAAGTGTTGCTGGTCACAATCACTTGTCATCAGCATTGTTACCCCAGCAATATTGTTAGCAGAACATGAAGCTCTCTCATTATTGAAGGCTCCCCCTTTAACTTCAGCTTGATGCATTATTGATGGTTCCCCCTTTAACTTCAGCTTTAACTTTAACTTCAGCTTGATGCATCAGGTCACAGGAGTGGAGTGTCCCTGTCTTTCTGAAGTTTAGGCCATTTGAAAGATGGAGAAACCCACGAATGAAAGCATCACCTGAAATCCTTAAGGTGCATGCAACAGATATTAATGACAGAGACTGTTGCTGTTTTTTATGACGGGTGATACTCAGTGGAAGCGGACATCATTCAGGGAATAATCCATAAACCATTTTGCTTAACAAAAGTATGAAAAGCACAGAGCAACACGTTTTCTGACCTTATTATTTTTTTTTTTTAGACAGAATAGGGCTTTGAGGCGCAAATACTAACTCTTTGTAGCAAACTGTTTTACTGGCTCAAGAACTAGCATCCCCGTGGCAGTGTAATACCGCCCGTATTGATGCCTTATGTAAAAGATTGATTCCACATTTTCCCCAAACATTCTCATCCAATTTCACGGAAAGAAAACTCTTTCTCCCCCCCCCTCCGGCCCCAAGAAAATGACACAGAAGCGCAAAACTCCAGGAAAGGAGCTCACGCGCTGGGTCCGGGGCGAGGCGGCAGCGACCGCGCGTGCAGCTGTCCCTCGTGACCAGATCGCATGTCGGTTCCCAAGGCTGTTCTTTGGCGCCTCAGAGCGGCGGCGCTGGCTCGTCGCACCGCCCCGAGAGGCGCTTGTTTGTCTCCACCTTCTCCTTCTCCCCCCCACCTTTTCCCCGCCGCAGGGCCAGGCTGGGCTCAGGCGGTTGAGAGGGGAGGCCCCAGAGGAGGAGTCCGTGGCATGTACTGAACTGCCCTCTCCGTCTATCAGCCAGCGCTGTTTCCTTCTCTCGGACGCGCTTGAGGTATCTCCAGCTGTTGCCTCCAACCTCCAGTTCCTATGGCCGGACGCGGCGGGTTTCCCCTGACTCCGCCGCCCCAGGAGGGACCATCGGCGGCTATCTCAGTGGCAGCGGGCGTCCCTTCGCCTGCTGTCCCAGCACCGGGAAGCGGGCTTTTGCGAGGACCCAGTCCTGCTGGGGCTGGATCGTATCGGCCCATGGGCCACGGAGCTCAGTTCCAAGTAAGTGGGTAGGCGCGCACGTGTGCATGTGTTGTCAGTTCGGGAAAAGTGCGGAAGCAGTGGCGCCGACCCCGACCGGAGCCCTCTGAATTTACAGAGCTATGATTCCCATCATCCGCGAACTGGGAACAATAAGAATTATAGTCCAAGTTATGTGCAGGTCGTCACATTGAGAAAAGTCACTCTGAAGGCTTTCACAGTTAGGAGACACGTGAAGAGACTGGCAGCTGTAGCAGGGGCGTCAGTATCTATTAGGAAAAAATTTATGGGCATCTTTTCAGAGAAGGGGGTATTTTAACGAAATTGAACATACGAGTGAGAATAAACGACATATGTTAGGTGGGATGAAGAAATTGCATTTTCTTTGCGGGAAATAAGAGACATCAGAGACAGCAGCATTTCGGTTCCTTGGGTTGCTTATTAGAAATTGCTGAAGGGTCGAAAAGGTGAAACAACTTATTTTGTAATGGTCAAAATCTAAGTCTACAAAATTATTAAATTTTTAATAAATTAATGCATTAAATATTTTTTATTTATTTGATTTTTATAGCCACTTCTCAGTGGGTGGTTTATAGTTCTAAAATTATAAAGCAATTAAAACAATTTAAAAAACAACAAAACAATAGAGAATCCACAAAATAAACTTTAGTTAGGCTACTATAATTTGTATGGGTTTATTTTTAATTTTACTTTGACTGAAATGGGTAATTTCTACTAATTTAAATAAATATTTAATGTTTCCTTATGTTTTTGAGGAAGCCTTAAGATCTGAATAATTAGATGTGCTCTAATGGGGCGGTGAAAGACAGTTAAATATTGGCTTGCATGTGCCATCTGGTCTGTCTTAGGCCTATGGTTGTGGCAAGAGGAGGTGGAGTTTGCACTGCAAATTATAGGTCTGTTTGTGTAATACTGTTTACGAGTATTCAGAAGAAATTTCTTCTATGTTTAATGGAGTAAGTTATTCCATCCTAATAAGTATGTGTAGGATTGCAACCTTACAGTGATTTTGTGGTGATTGAATTCTGTGAAGGTTGAAAAGTTTTGCAATTGGAAAACAAATTCTTGGTTTTTAAAGGTAATATATATACCTAGGAAGCCTTTTGCAGATTTCTCCTCTCAGTCCTTCCTTGCCTGAAAGTTAAGGCTGAATGATTACATTGTTTTCCATTTCTCTTGAACATCGTCTTTTTAATTAATATGCTACTTTAATGTCTATTTTAATTTTACTTGAATCAAATTGTGCTTCATTTTTATATTGTTTTGAGATAGTGATATAGACATTATGTAATAAATTTTTATATCACTTGCTATCAGCATGTTTGGAACTAGAATCACGTGGACGTTTCTTTAATTGCCTAAGAAGTTGGATATTCAGGGATATTAAAAAGATGGAGACTATGAAAGCAAGCAACATTTTACTTAAAGAAGGATCTGAAATATTTTCCATGAAACTTGAGTATATATTTTGGCTTGTGTATTTTATTGGAAAGGAATTTCCCCATTCTCTGGGATTCTTGATTATACAAGAGTTTGTACATTAGAAGAATTGAGTCTTCAGCGGTATTTGAGTACCCAGATAATACACTTTTAGTTTGAATGTAAGGAATGAAAGAAAATATAGCAACAATGTCAAAAGGACTTGCAGACTACTGGTGATTTAAAGTAATGTTAATACACTCCCTAAGGCATTGCAGTATATATCCACAAGGAGATTTCTGACACCTTAAGTGCTTACACTTTTTGGGATAATAATTTATTGGCGATATTTTATATTCATCAATCAAATAAAAATGATATTGATTTGAAGAATATCCATAGAATATATTTTATAAGCCATTTAAAAATTATTTGAGTAAACCGTCTCCTCCCTATTTTTGCCATAGCCATGCCAACATTGGAAAGAGATTTTCTCCATGGTTTATTTTGATTTATTTAATTTATTTATAGATTTTATTTGCTGCCCATCTTGTAGTTCAGGTGACTCTTAAATATGTGATTTTCAAAAAATAAGATTAATGTACATCAAGTTGGTATAGTTTCTGAACCACCAAACTAAACAGACCAATTGTCACATTTAGAATTTTCACAGGAACTTAAAAAAATATCTGCCATGTGACTCAGCTCCAACACCTGGGTAGGTGTGGGGAAGTAAACTGCTTACTTGATTCTTTACACACCTGGTTGACTATATACTGTATATATTGCTAATGGGACATGAATTAGACTCAATACAAGTCAGTTAAGAATTTCTTGCAAAATGTAGATTTATTTAATTATGTAGTTTATATATTACAGTTAGGGTGTGATTTGGATTCAGAAACAGAAGAGTACTTTGGAGCATGTGGAGAATGTGGCATCCATCAATAACTTTTAAAGCAGCCTTCTTTTCCCAGATTCAAGTTGTTATAGAACCTAGGAAAAGTCACATTTGGTTTAAGGAATTGCAGATAAGTGTTTCATTTGTGCCTTGTCCACTCTGAAGCAGTTTTGCCTTTAAAACCAAAACATTGCACTGCTATGTTTTGGTTTTAAAGGCAAAGCTGCTTCAGAGTGGACAAGGCACAAATGTAACACTTATGTTATATATTACTTTTTCATCAATTGGCTTCAAACAATTAAAAAAACTTTAAAAATATAATCAGCTATGGCGAAGTAGTAAAATACTGTATAAAATAAAAAAGTTGAAATAGCAAATATTTCAACTTTCTAACAACATACCTTATATTAAAGGTGTCTGATTTATTTGTAGATACATATGGTATTATAATGTAATCAAATACAAAATATTATTATACATTCCAATTTCTCAGTATAATTCTTCTAGCCATCCACCATGTATGCTACTATAAAAATATAATTCTTGATGAAGAGTTTCTAAAACTTTAGTGTATAATTTAAAATCACATTAACATTTTTAACATTTAAAATTTCCCCATAAAGGTAAAAGACCATTCCCCAAAAGTACTAAAGGATGGTAGGAGCACATTACATGGAACACCTTCATCAAAGAAAATCTCATATCTTTCTTTTCAAGAACGTTCTTTGGGGAGTCCAGTGCATTCTAAATACATTTTTGATAAATCAACTCTAATGTCAAATCTGTTTATATCATTTAAACATTTTTAAAAAGATGAAGCTATTTATAGGGCATTAATAAAAATTCTGGTTCTTTTATCAATAATTAGAATATCCCAGAAATGTTCATTTAAAGTTATATTCTTGACCTTTCAAAAAAGATAATTATGAATTTTACTTTCGTCACAGATTCCATTAAAATACAAGTGCTTTTGGAAGCAGCCAACATGTTGGCCTCATATTAAGCTATTAAAACTTGTTTAAGTTGAAGATGCTGTTACTGTTATAAATTAGGAAGAGCAGATTGAATTTGAAGTCAAGCTTAGCAAATTAAATTTTTTAATATAAATTAATATTTACCCTACCACATGTTTGCCCATATTGTGTAAATTATTTTCATGCATATGGTTAAACATTGTTTGTACAATTTACCTCTTCTACATTTAGATAAATTTAAATTACTAAAAATATGATATATTTCTACTCAGGTGAAATTGCCATAATGCACTGCTACCTTTCTGTCCTAGTTGATAAGGTCTTTGTTTCACTTTATCCAGTAAACTGACTAGGTTTTATGCTCTTTTAGAAAACAACAATAGAGTGATGGCAGTCTGATTTCCATGGCTATTAATTTAAAGCCTATTTTTTTAAAGAACAACTGTATTTTAAATGTTAGTAATATATGCATAGTGTTTTACAGTACATCCTTTCAAAGATGAATAGGTTTTAGGTTAAAATAAGTTTGAATCTAAAGAAAATATGAAATAGAAAAAAGAAAAATATTTCTATAACATGTTTTAATATTACAGCAAAATAATGCATCATTAATATAAGCCAAATCATTCAAATGTACTCTTGATAAAGAACATAACGTAAGTAAGTATAATAAAAGAATGTAGGAAATGCTGGTAAGCTTCATCTGTCTTTCTTGATAAAGTTAGGAGGAGGAAAATTATTTGAAAATAAGTTTGTAGAAAACTTCTGCTTATTTCTATTGGAATTAAAGATATAAATTCATATGTACTACATAGTGTAGTTTAAGCTTGGTTAATTCTGTAAGACTTATAAAAGATATGTCACTATATAGACAAATGAAAAACACATTTGTAACTAAGCAATTAAATTAATATCTTTATTCTTCCAAATATAAAAATAATTTTGCTACAGCTGTGTAAAGACCTGGATTTAATTTCTGCACAGTATTAATTAATGTTGCTCATATGGGCATGCATGTAGCATCCGCTGGGAATGCTTTTTATTAAACACATCTTTTTTCAAGATTGAGAGGAAATCACTCAGTTCTGGGGAAAGATGCAGTTCTTTAAGACACTAAGTATATGTCCCCATAATCTCCAAATCAGTTTTTGGATTTCAGTTTAGATTTCTGCACAACCCTAGATTTTATAAATTGCCAACCGTAATAAAAATGAATCATGGGTATTTAAAAAGACATAATTAAAGGTCTGCTTCTTGCATAAGAAAATAAATGGGGGAAAAAAAGAAAATTGAAATGTTTTAATAAAGAATTATGTCAGATTAAATGGAACAAGAATTCTTAGATCATATAAAAAATAGGGTTCATACAACTGAGCAAATTCTAACTAAAATATAATAAAATAAAATAAAGTTGCCAAATTATGGAAGACTTGCAAAGCTAGATTATTAACTGAAACCCTAAAATTAAAAACTATAGAAGTTTATTTCATAATAACAAGCAGAATTTTATAGAATGCACTATTTAATAGCAGGATTGTGTGATCAGACATGCTAATAATGCTTGTTTATTTGTGATAGTTGAAATGAGTGTAGACTCTTTTCAGTCCCCCCCCCCTTTTTTTCTGAAGCAGTTAGAAGAATTCAGAAACTTTCCTTTCTGCTCTGATTAATCAGAACTTGCTGAGTTAATTGAAATAATTGAATTA